CATGGGGGTGGAACTGTGTGCACGTAGGAGGAGGATGTCAGCGGGGAGGAGATGCAGGTCGGTGGTCAGAGCCTGGGCTTGGTACCCATCCAGCAGCTGGCCTCTTCCTGGGGGTGGAGGGGCTGTTACTGGAAAACGTTTATGCTGACCATCGTTCTGGTCTTCTTCCCTTGCTCAAACTCTTCCCCTCTGGGACACCTGGCTCTCATCTTGCACATGGAAAGACCAGAATTCATTTCCTTTCTGGAACTCTCTTTGCCTTCATTTTCTGACCATTGCCCAGATCTCTCAGCAGCAAAGATTTCCCAGCTTAGGCCCCACTGAGTGGAGAATGGAAAAGTCATTTCTGCCTTAGTTTACCCAAGTACTAAACCAATACAGCTTTTCAAATGCTAGAATTATGACCAGAACAGGCTTGGTCTCTGGCTTTCCCGCACACGATTAGCCAGGAGCATTTTTCCATTGAATTGTCTCTGTCATTTTCTTCCAGGTGAGCAGAGTCCCTTGATTCATTTCTCTAAGGGTGGGGAAAAACAGCAATGAAGATCCAACAGGTTTCAGAAATCTGGCTGGAAGAGACCAATGTATCAGGGCTTTTTTTCTTCTTTTAACAGGTTTGTTCTAAGAGATAATTTACCCCCAGCCTTCACTTTATTACCCACACAATTCCTAGGCCAACGCCATATAAATGCAGGTGTACAAGTGAGTGGAAGAGCAGTGTGTCAGCGGCCTGTAATCCTAGCTACTCAGGAGGCTGGTCTAGGGAAAGTGGTTCAAAGCCAGCCCGGGAAGGAAAGTCCCCAGGAGATCTTGTCTCCAGTTAACCACTCAAAGGCCAGAAGTGGCCTGTGGCTCAAGCGTAGCGCCGCACAGAGGCTCCGGGACAGCGCCCAGGCCCTGTGTTCAACCCCACAGCCTGCAACAACAACAACTAAGTTGAAGACAAAATAAGAAAAACCAAGGCGCAAAGTAAGTCCAACTGCAAAACAGTTTAAAATGAATATGCAGGTGGACATGGCGGTCCGGAGGAGCTGCCGGTCTGTGAAGGCGCGTCTGCGCGGGGACCAGCAAAGCCGCTGCGGCGCCTTCTGTGGCCGCGAGGTGGCGCTCACCGCCTTCGCTGCCCTTCCGAAGGTCAGAGCCTGGACGGCCGGGGAGGCCGGGGACGGCCGGGGAGGCCGGGGAGGCCGGGGAGGCCGGGGACGGCCGGGAGGCCAGCGTGTGCTCATCAGCCTGGACGGCCGGGGAGGCCGGGGAGGCCAGCGTGCGCTCATCAGCCTGGACGGCCGGGGAGGGCCGGGGACGGCCGGGGAGGGCCGGGGAGGCCAGCGTGTGCTCATCAGCCTGGACGGCCGGGGAGGCCGGGGACGGCCGGGGAGGCC